GAAGTCTTTTTTTTTTTTTTTTTTTTAAGAATTACTTTTTTAGCCGGGCGGTGGTGGCGCACGCCTTTAGTCCCAGCACTTGGGAGGCAGAGGCAGGCGGATTTCTGAGTTCGAGGCCAGCCTGGTCTACAGAGTGAGTTCCAGGACAGCCAGGGCTACACAGAGAAACTCTGTCTTGAAAAACCAAAAAAAAAAAAAAAATTACTTTTTTATTTTATATATTTGAGTACGTCTGTCTATAATGGATAAATAGGAATAAATCTTTCTACCATGGTTTTTGTTGCTGTACACATACTAAAGTTGTGTATTTGAGTATTTATGTATTGAGCTGTCTTCAGACACACCAGAAGAGGAAGGACATCAGATCCCATTACAGATGGTTGTGAGCACCATGTGGCTGCTGGGAGTTAAGTTTAAGACCTCTGGAAGAGCAGTCAGTGTTCTTAACCGCTGAGCTCTCTCTCCAGCCCCCTCTTGGGCAGTCTTAGTGAGGAGTTATTTAGATGAAGTTTACCTGAGGATCTGTCTTGGGGGGATCCTCTTGACTGTTAAGGAAAGATGCAGACTCTGGGGTTAGCCAGACAAAGTCTGCCCAGGCTTAGAACTGGGATGAGAGTAACAGTGGGGCTTTGTGCGGGGATTCAGGTTGTAACTCTACAACTTAGTGCCACAGATGCCACCTGGGAACATTCCTAACACATCTGACACATCTGTGGAGAAACCTATGTCCATCAAATGCTAGGCTCAGGAATATGATGAACTCCATACTTGAGAGGACCCTGGGAACTTGTGAGGTACCTCTGGACTCTGGTGATGCTTTAGCCTTCTTGTCCTTACTTCATCTACCAAGTTGTTTAATTGTACCATAATTGCACCACTGCCTGCTGGAGAAATCCAGGTGGTCCAGCCTGCCAAGCACCTGTGAAAGAGGGACCTTAGTGGTAAGACCAAGGACATAAGAGAGCATATTAGGTGCATACTGTAGTCAGGAATTGAGAGCCTGGGTGGCTAGGTCAGGTCCTGAATAGCAGTCTTGTTCAGATTCCTGGAAGTTGCCAGCAGTGGTGGTGCTCCCAGCACTTGGGAGGCAGAGGTAGGCAGATCTCTGAGGTCCAAGCCAGCCAAAGCAAAGGGGTTCAAGAGATGGTGCAGCAGCTAAGAGCACTGGGTGTTGTCTCATAGAACCCAGGTTTAATTCCCAGCATCCACATAGAGACTCAAAATTAGCCGGGCTGTGGTGGCGCAGGCCTTTAATCCCAGCACTTGGGAGGCAGAGGCAGGTGGATTTCTGAGTTTGAGGCTGGCCTGGTCTACAGAGTGAGTTCCAGGACAGCCCGGGCTCTACAGAGAAACCCTGTCTCAAAAACAAACAAACAAACAAACAAACAAAAAACAAAAAAAAGAAAAAGAGACTCACAATTATCTGTAACTTTAATCCCAGGTTATTGACCCTATTTTCTGCCCTTCACAGGAACCAGACACACACATACAGGCAAACATGAAAGCAAAACACAAGTACACATAAAAAATAAAGATGATCATTTCTTGTTTTGTTTTGTTTGAGACAGGGTCTCACTCTGCAGCTTGAACTGTCTTGGAATTCAATTTGTAGACCAGGCTGGCCTTTAACTCACAGAAATCTGCCTGCCTCTACCTCCTGAGCAAGGATTAAAGGCGTGCATCACTATACCCGGCTAAAAAATAAAAATCTCAAGAACAGAATGAAAAAAAAAAAAGATTCATGGATGGCAACCCACAGCCTAATATACCTACCATCTCAGCCCAGTCCACAGTCCACTGAGCAGTACTTAGCTGGCATGCATTTGCACCCAGTAAACACCTAGGAAACAACAGAATTCCCCAGGTGCCCAGTCTACTATGACTTGCTGCTACACTGGAGGCTGGGGAAGAGCTGGCCAACCTCTTCGGGCTGGAGTGGAGACTGGGCCAGCTGGACACAGCCACTTGTTCCTCTTGGTCTAGGGCTCTACTCTACCAAAGGCCAAGGGTGGACTAGGACAGTTCAGTATTTGAAACTTTCTTTTTACCCTCTTCTGGGCCACTGTTGGAGGGACTGGGCCCAGCCTTGCTGGGGCAGGATCTCATTCTAACACAAGCTGACTTGGAACTCACTGTGTAGACCAGGCTAGCCACAAACTCACAGAAGGTCTCTTGTCAATGTCTTCCAAGCATGAACCAGAAGAAAGGAGAGTTCTAGGTGAAGTGCACTGTACTCCAGGTTGGGGAGGCCTTGGGAGAACAGCCAGGGTGACACATAACCAGCTGGGTGACAGAAAATTCTAGAGACTCTGTCCCACCCAACTGGTTGATTCTTCAGCTCATCTCTTTGTCTCCTCCTTTACTTGCTGTGGTTCCTCAGGAGAACCTCTACCCTTCTCTGAACTCCGTTATCAACATGTGTCTGACTTAGGCAGAGCTAACAGCAAGGATGCCTGAGAGACAGGCATTTTGAATCCTGTGGCAGCCTGGCCTCCCAGTTCTGAGCTGTCTGCTCTGAACTTACTCCAGGGCCCTGCTGACAGCTGGCAACATTCCTGTGGCTTCTCTAAGTAGGCATTTGTGTCCCAAACTCCTGGGAGTCAAAGTCTGGACTCAAAGATTTGAAGAGGAAGTTTGTACCTCTTGCATCCTGGAAGAGACTGCAACTATCTCTTAGCTTCTGGGGTCTAAAAGGCAGGATGGGAGTCGAAAGAGCAGTTTGCAGTAACAGACATGAGGCTGAACCTGGGAGAGAGAGACAGGAGACCTTCCAGGGGGAGGGGAGGACCTAGGGGCAGCTGACAGAATTCTCAGATGGCCATGATGGGATAGGCTAGCCAAGAGATGACAAAGTCAAGGTGCTCCCGAAGTCCTCCCCAGTAACAAGATAGGGAAGAGATGGTCCTTTAGGTGAATGATAAATTCCCTAAAACTGCACAGCCTGGAGCCAAGTGTGGACATTTTGGAGCTGTCTCCAGCAGAGCTGCTTTTCTTTTCCCTTTAGCCCAGTCCCTCTGGGACTCTCTCCTCTGTGCTGGGGAAGAGGTGGCCTGCCTGAGTGGAGCCATTGGGGGAGACTGCTTTGTCAGAACTAGGAGAAGATAGAAAGGGTACGGTCCAGTCTGAACTGGGCTAGACTCTAGCATGGGGAGAATGTGGAGTGGACAGTCCTGTGTGCCTCTTTGGGCTCACATTTCTTCTCTAGCTGCTTCAAGCAAGAGCTGTCTAAGTCTCACAGCTTCCTCCTGACCATCCAGTTACATCCCCACTGTCTCTTGTCCTTCTCTCTGAAGCTTTGCTGTGAGTCTGGCCTGTTGGATAGTCCTGCTCTCTTGGCATCGCTGACTGTAGTGACTGCTCAAAGAGAGTGCTAACAACCTTTAAGTGTGAGTAACTGAGACAGAGAGGGTGCAGTGACTGTTAAGGACTTGTGACTAAATAAATGGGGAGCAGAAACTCAACTCACCCATCCCTGGGCATCTGCGCCGGCCTGTGCAGGACTATGTATATGCATTTATTAGCCAGCTGCACAGGGCATCAGGACACTTCTCTTGGGACTTGGTTACACTTTGGGATGCCATTTTTTGTGCATAGTTAAACCTGGAAAGGTTCAGTGACAAGGGGAGGTTATATTTTTCCTCTTATGTCACCCAGTGTCTCATTAATCTGCACCGAGCAGATCTCATTGGTACTGAGGAGGAAACAAGGCAGGCAGGATGAAGGGTCACGAGTAAGGGAGACCCCTTGATATCCAAACGACAAAGACCAATAAGGAGAAGGCTCAATTTCCTGGATGGGTCCATAGAGTCAGGACTGTGCCATCCCTGAATGTAATTGTCTAATATAGGTAGGAATCATGGCCCCACTCACAAGTCTCTATGAACTGAGAGAGAGCTGAAGAAACTGCCAAAGGTCACCAAAAGGATGAGTGGAAGAACCTGATTCTTCTTGTATTCCAGAGTGTGGGTTCCTTCCACTGTATTGCTCTAACAAAACCATCCCTCCAAGCCCATAGTGTCTGAATCAGTCCACATTTGAAGGTCATTGTCTCAGTTTGAAGAGCTGATTCTCAGTTCCCATTTCACTATAGCAAGAACTATCTTAGCACCAAGTCCACAGACCCAGTCAAAGACCCCACTGAGTACCAAGCATCTAGCCAGGTGCCTGGTGTGTAACAGGCTGTCATTGAGGAACTGTCTCACCACTAGATGATGAGTAGGCCACGGGGTACAGCCCCTGGCCCTTTTTCATAATGCAAAAGTATGGGTGCTGAGTGCCTCAAGTCTCAGCCTTCATGATATCCCAGCACTCCTGAGCCATGGCCATATTCCATTGACAACTGAGCCACAGGATCCTTTGTTTTCTGTGTATGTGCATGCACTGTAGCATGCATGTGGAGGTCAGAGGACAATCGCCTATATTTAAAACAGTACCTTTTTATGTTGTTTGCTACTGCATGTCCAGGCTGGGTGGTCTTTGAGCTTCTTTCTCTCCTACCTTGCTGTAGAAGCATGGGGAGACAACCTCTTAGCTTTGGATGAGTTCTAGGCCCTGAGTTGGGTTTGTTTTGAGACAAGGTTTCACACTATAGTCCAGGTGGCCTGAAATTCGATATATATAGTCCAGGGTGGCCTTGAGCGCTAGGCAGTCCTCCTGCCTCAGCTTCCCAAGTGCTGGAACTATACCACCACAGTTGGCCTCACAGGGCTTTTTTGCAATGGAGGACTGGGCCAGAAGTCACTGGAGAGTTGTCCAGTTTTGGCCCAGCTCTCTGCCCAAGATCTAAGCCAGATGGTAGTCACAGACAGGGGCCTGGGCAGATATAGCCAGTAGGCGGTCCATAGTGAGCAGCCCTGACTATAACAGGCTTGAGGGCCTTGAACAAGACTCTGCTAGCACGTCATACTTTAGCTCCCTTCTCCACCCCAAGCAGACTCTTCTCAGCCTTGGATATGGCAGTTTATTTTTCCCATCAAATGAAATTCACAGGACTCCAAGTGTGTTAGCTTATCTTTAATGTCACAGCAGTTGGCACAGGATGATGTTTGGTGAGGGGACAGTAGTGGACTGATAGTGTGTGTGAACACAGTGTGTCTTGTGTGGGCAACTGGCTGGAGCCATGGCACACCCGTGCGATGTCAGGGTGTTGGCTTTTGCTCTGACAGCTGGGTACCAACTCTGGCTGCTGGAGGAGGGATCCAATTCTGTTCCAGAAGCATTCTGAAGTTAGGCTGTTCAGAATGGGATGGGCATCTCATCCATAGCTGGCATTCTCCAATCCCTCAAAGGTGACAAGACTTGTAAGGAGGGAGGTGTCAAGAGAAGGCAGCTATATCCAGGACCTTAGGATCCGGTCGAACCAAGAAGAGAGGCTCCAAAGGGCCAGTGAAGCTGTGAACAATTTCCAGAAGCCAATCTGCAACCCTGCTCAAGTTAGCCTTAGGGTAAGGGGCTTTGTTCACTTGGCTGACTGTCAGGGCTGTGGCTAGTGGAACCTTTCCAGGGACCTGCGGGTGCTCCTTTTGGGGACCTACAATTAGTGGGCTATATTAAGACAAGAATCTCAGTAAGCAGAGCTCAGAAGGACCAAGGTGGAGCCTCCCTGGAGCAGAGCCTTTATTGTGGAGATACGGAAAGATTACCTACAGCAGGAGTCATGAAAAGTCATGTTTGTTATTTCCAAAAAAAGCCCCGCAGTGGCTAGTCCAGGAAACAATAAAACTTATATTACAGTTTTACAGTGTTTTGATCACTTGTGATGGGAGAAGGTGAGTCTGTTTTGTGCTGTTGGACTCCAACCCTGCTCTCAGCTGGAGTTCCCAAGCATCCCTTTCGAGACTGTTTGGGAAATCAGAGGTAGGTGTCGGCTGCCCTCCAAAATCCAGATTCTCAGTCCAGTGCTCTGCTCTGCCATCTGACCTGTTGCATAATGCTAAGTAACTGGATTGTATTCATGAAATTTCCGTTTTGTTCTTTGCTACCGGCCAGCAGCCCAGCTGGTGGGAATGATGTAGGTCTTTTGGGATATCCAGTGGGCCGCTTTTGTCCCAGGTCTCTGGATGCAGAGGCCCCCATCAGCTCAAGTGTTACATTCTTTGTGCCAGGGACACTGACACAGGAGTCACACACATGCTGAAACAAGATGATCAAGAATTGTTTGCACTGCTCACAAGCAACAGGAGCTCTGCCTTCCCCTCCCCCAACCTCCTTGCGGGTGGCGGAGTTCTGGGCTCCTCCTCTTCCCCACCAGACTAGGGGAGAGGATCCTAGGAAAGGAAATAGCTGATGCTTAGCGGCTAAAACCTTGCAGAAGAGGCAGGATGGAGACGATGCTAGGGGCCCAAGTCTGGCCACCTGAGTCAGTCGCGCTTCCCCGCCCTCGGCAGGCCAGGCCACGCAGCAGCCCAGGTTTCGCCACGCGGTGAAGTTCTGCGGAAAGTTTTGCAGTTGCTTCGCCTCTCGCGCCAGCAGGAGAAGCTGTGACGCAGCGTCTGGGGCTCCAGGCCCGGGCTGAAAAGAGAGGGAAGACAAGGCGGGAAGGAATTGAGAGTCAGAATAGGGGAAGATAAAGAACGCACGCTGGGGTCCGTGTGGACCTCGCCGATCCTCTTCTACAGCCTTCGCCTCCTCTCCCTCCCGACACCCACTTCCTTGCGGCCGGGTCCCCAGCCCAGCGCCCCCGCGCCTCCTCCTTCCCCTCCCACGCTGCCCGCTTTCCTTCCCCTCTGCCCCTCAAACCCTCCTCCAGGGTTCTGCGCTCCTCCCTCCGCCCTCCCTCCGCGGGGCCTGCCTCTTCCCTCCTCCTCTCCGGGAGGCATCACTTAGTCCGGACCCGGAGGAGGATGCGATCCCCTCGCCGGCGGTCTTTCGAGCCCAGCGCTAGGGCTGTCTCTGCACGCATTCCCGCCGTGCGCCCTCGGTCCTCGCGTCCAACGAGCGCCGCAGGGATGGGACCCATCCGACCTGCCCTCACGCCCTGGCCTCGTCACCTGCTGCGCTGCGTCTTGCTTCTCGGGGGACTGCGTCTTGGCCACCCGGCGGACTCCGCCGCCGCCCTCCTGGGTAAGGCGCTGCCAACTTGGCCAACTTCGGGGGCTGGCCCGCGGGGAAGCAGGGCCTCTTGACTTTTCCCTCCTTTTTTTTCTCACTCCCATCTCTTCTGCAGAAGTGTGTGTGTGTGTGTGTGTGTGTGTGTGTGTGTATTATGTGTGCGCACGCGCGTGCGTGCGTGTGTGTGTGTGTGTGTGTGTGTATGTGTGTGTGTGTGTGTGACTGGGTTTTTAAAATTCGTCTCCACTTTTCTGGGAGCAAGGGAGGGGATGGGAGGAGGAGCGCGCCTGGAGGTGGGGGAGGACCTGAGTGGAACCAGATGTGGCAGGCGGCGGGGGAGGGGAGCCGAGGCACCGAGGCCTGGGAGGGAGAGGGAGGGCTGGTGACTACTTATGTCCTGGCCACCCGGACCCCCGGCGCCCGCCCCACGCTGGTCTGGGTACCTTGAGCTACAACCGGAGAGCCAGAAGCGCATTGTTTCTTACTCTGTACGTGAGGGGTCAGCCGTCTGTTCAGAGTTGGGCAGTGGGGTCTTTATGTTTTCTTACTTGGTCTTCAAGGACAGCTTGTGGCAGAGGACTTCTGCACCGTTCAATCGGAACCCTGTGGGACAGTTTTGTGCCAGGAGGATCGAGTGCTTGTGCGTCTGTGTGCGCGTGTGTGTGTGTGTGTGTTCATTTCTCACTTTGTGTGGTCAATTCTGGCCAAACTGGCACTTCTCCAGCGTGGACAATCTTTGCTGCAAAAGCGTTTCTAAAGATGCAAAACCACAACCCACATAAAACCAACCACACAAGGCCCCCAAACTATACCCTTCTCTTTCCTGTATGGTTTGTTGTTGTTTGTTTTTTGTTTTTATTTTTATTTTTAAAGAACTAACTGAAATGTGAGATCAGACAGGTCCCTCGACAAGAAGCTGAACACTGATAAACATTGATGGGGTAGATCTTGGGGGGCAGGGGCGCTCAGAATTTTAAAAAATGTGCTGGGTGCTGCTGCCTCCACATCCCCTTTTTATGTTTAATTGGGGGCTGGGTGAGTGGGAAGGGATGGGACCGCGGCTGCAGCTTCCTGCTAGGACTAGAGGGCCCCCTGAAGAGTCAGAGACCTTTACAGTGGCCTGGTGTGTTGTGGACATTTGCTGAGGGGAAAGGTAGGGTCAGGGTGACTTTCCCTTCCACTTAGACCTGAAGCCTGCATAGACAGGAAGCAAGCCAGAGATCTTTGCAGCTAGGTAGCACATAGCCTGTCCCTCACCTCCAGGTGTGCTTGCCAGAGCCTTGCTCCTCTGTAAAGGACATGGGACAGCAGGATTCGAGGGAGGAGGGAAAGGACGGCCAATTCCAAGAGCCTTAGCTTGGGTTTTAAAGCCAGGCCCTGGGAAAGAGCTGGGCCAGAGTGCTGACTTGGTCTTTTCCCCGGGGAGATTTTGACAGGGAGGTGGAGATGCCTGATGAGGGGCCCAGTCAGGGAGGAAAAGGAGCCTTACAGTGTCCCTATGCTTCCTCATCTCTGCTTCTGTCCCTCCCTACTCTCTCAGACTGTCCCACACAAAATACTCATAGTCTGGGCTGTTGTGTGGCCTGGATCACCCACCCAAGCCCTGAGGAAGCCTGGCCTAGCCTGGCCTTACACAGCTGGAGGGGTGGGAGAGTTAAAAGGCTTTCACTATAGCAACTGAACAGGAGGGTAAAAAAAATCACACAACTTCCCTGTCACCGAACAAACACAACACCAACCCTTTTGCCTTGGGTTCTCCTACCCCTACCCTGCCAATTTCTATGGCTCCCTCATCTGGAAGGCTGGGCTAGGGTATGATAAGAGAGATAAGCACTGGGTAAATTTCACCAGCATGGGGAACCTGTAGCTCTAGGAAGAAGTGCTTTAGGATTTGAAAGGCACCTGGGGGGAGGGGCTGGGCTGGCAGCTTCCTGATCACCAGCAGGAAGCCCACTGGGCTCTGGATGAAGAATGACCGCTCTTGGGATCAGAGGTGAAAGGGCTGAAGGAATTCTCAACATAGGAGGTCAGAATTCATCTTTACTGCTTCCATGGCCCCATAAAATATGCTTTTGCTGTGATGCTGCTACGCTCTCCATGTGTATAGCACTAAGCCAAGTGCTTCAGAAGAGTTAGGATGCATCTTAGGGAACTGAAGTCTTTCAGGAGAGTGACACAGTTTGAACCATTAGTGTGGGGTAAGGCTCTGTGCGTGAGCTTCATCTCAGCCTGGAGCCCTGTCAGGTGCCTAGCATCCAACTTCTCATTTAGGTGTTGCTGAACCTATTTTGCAAAGTACAAAATAGAGTCTGATGATTTATTTTGGGCACATCTAGAAAGTGAAAGTCTGGGACCAAGGATGGTAAATGACCAGAAACCGAGGAGAGGACGTGGTCCAAGGAGAGGCTTTCTGGAGAGAGCAGAAAGGGCCGAAGGGAGAGCAGGCCAGGAAGGCGGTGCTGCTGCTGAATATTTTGTGGAAGCTTCCAGGGTTTGTGGAGGAAAAGGTGAAGGAAACTGGCCAGGTGCCTGGGAGGCCCCCCGATGAAGATACCACCTGCGGCTGTGGAGCTCTGAGGCGCTGTGGCTGTGGAGCTCTGAGGCACTGGAGGTTTCCTACAAAATGAGCTGTGGATTAGAATAGAGGGATCTGCTGTTTGGGTGGAGCACTGAGGACATCTTGGGAAATCCTGTTGTGGGGAAGGACTTCGGTCTAAAAGTCATACAAAGATGGCTGGCGTTCCCTCTGAGAGGTGTTGGGTTTTGTCCCTGCTACCAGAGTAATTGGACAAACCGCTGCATGTGTAGCCAGCTCCTGACCAGGTGAAGAGCTCTGAGCACTGTCCTCTATAAAACTCCGCCTACCTGGCTCAAGCACACTTGCCAGGGTCACCGTGCTCCTCCAGGGTCACCGTGCTCCTCCAGGGTCACCGTGCTTCGTGCCAGGTTTCTCTTCTATTCTGAGTTCACCTGGCCAAGGTGAAGGTTGCACACAGGGGAAGCAGGAAGCTTGCATTTGGTCCCAGTGTGCTCAAACCAGAGAAGTCCGGGGTCCACTAGTTGGTGTGACTGTGGGATAGGAACAAAAAGCCCCAACTTCTTAGGGTCTTTGCATTCATTACTAGTTTAAGCATGGGGGTGGGGCAAAGTAACAACTTCTCTAAAAGCCCTCGTTTCTATGGTGGTGGTTCCTCAAGTCTCCTAGCCCTGGGCAGATCTCATCTTAGCCCCTGGGAGTCAAATGTTAGAGCTGTTCTTGGTTTGTCAAGATCACATCACTAGAAAGTGGTGAATGGGATTCCATTGCAGGAGAGGCCAGAGCGCCTAAACTTAGCAGCACCAAGCCAAAGCAAAAGCATTGCCAGGGAGCCCTGCATGTCAGCTAGCTTGTCACTGTGACTCAGTTGCCTCATCTAAACAAGAGAAGACGAGTTTATTTTGGCTCTCAGCTTAGAGACTTCAGTCTGAAGTCATCGGGTTCCATTGCCCTAAGCCTGTGAGGCGACAGAAGGGTCATAGCAGTAGAGGAAGGCAGCCAGGAAGACAGGGAGGCACCAAGGACAAGGTATACACTTCAAAGACAAGTTTCCGTTGACCTACTTCTTCCAGCCTGGCTCTACTTCCTGGTTGCCCAGTAATGCCATTAAGACCCCATCATTAGTGTGGTCATCCATTAGGTTAAGGCCCCTATGACCTAATCAAAAGACTAACTCCAAACAATGTACTGAAGACCAAGCTTTTATACCCAAACAGAAAAGGATACCCATGAAAGGGACAGTGAAGAAGAGAATGGATGAGACAGCTCTCTGTTGCCAGCTATTGGGACACTTGGTTCTCATACATTTCTATGGGAGCCAGAGACAGAGACTAAGTTCCCTCTTCCTGCCCTTGGGCCCTTGAATTATTTACCAGGGAGGCATTGGTAAATAATTAACGAGTGCCTGAAGAAGCTGCAGCCAGGCACCCCAGCTCATGGAGGTGGGGATTTCATTCACATAGTCATTTGTTCATTCATTCATTCATTCATTCATTCCTCATGTTTACTGACCCTGTATAGCGACAAGATCAAGATGACTAAGACCTGTTCTTCCGGGCTGAGCGGTTGTGGCGGCAGGGAGCCATGCACACATTTAATCTTAGCACTCGGGAGGCAGAGGCAGGCAGATCTTAGTGAAGGCCAGCCTGATCTACAGAGTGAGTTCCAGGACAGGGCTACATAGAGAAACCTTGTCCTGAAAACCCAGATAGATAGATAGATAGATAGATAGATAGATAGATAGATAGATAGATAGTCTGTCTTCCTTTGAATCTAACTCCTTGCCCTGC